TGATTCTCGGAGTCTCCAAATTCATAGTTAATTCCTATTTGTCTTTGCACATTCTTTCTTCTATACTGTGTCGTATGTCACTTTAAAATGTTGAATGCATTGAAATTCAAAAACACATTCAAGAAGACCATGCTGAAATTAAAGAATATTACAAAACTGTGTTGCTTCTCAGATTGCTGAATCTAAAGTCCTATCTTCGACATAAGCTTATAAGCTTAGTTAAACATGCTGAAGTCTTAGAATAAACATGTATAGTGTATCAAAAACTTACATCAGAACAGTTCAACAGCGAAAATAACGCTATAAAAATCGTCAGAATTTGACGATTTTCGAAAATCGAAAATTTTATAATTCCCTTCTTTATTAGTTTTCATATCTATTGAGGTTACACAAAGAACAAGAGAATTAGGACGAATAAAATGTTATGTTTTATCCCAGAAAAAATAACAAAAATACCTTGAACATTTCCATCTGTTATGTTATTAGTTTCCATTCGTTCTCTTGATGTTTCTGTTTCTTGTGCCAATACTGATGTCAGTGTGGCTGAGCAATTATTTACAGTCGGATTTATAATTGATTCATCAAAAATCAACTGTCCATCTTCGTTTGTATCTGAACCGCTCGATAGTAGTTGAGTGCTTTTCTTCGATTTCAATTCAAATGACGAGGAAACGAAATGTTCGTTATTTACATCCATAGATATCGAAGTTATATTGACAGATCGGTTTGTTAATGATGGAACATCCTGGAATAGAATCTTTGCATTTTGACTTGTAGTTGAACCTGAGTAAATGAAAAAAGCGAAAGTAACACATGAATAAATATTGTATTTATTTGATAAATTCTATTGGAGCAGCTAATAGAAACTAAATTTACCTTTTTTATTTTGTTGATTGTCAGTATAAAAGTCGCATTCATGCTGACACGATTCTAGAGATGAAATTACTTGACAATCATTGTTTTCATTTATTACAACTGATTGTTGTATTTCATTAGTAATTTCAGATAAAGGAAATGTGTGAGACGATGAGGCTGAAAATATTTGAGCTGTTAGACTATTATTATTTATTTTTTCACTTATTTTCGTCAAGTTATTTAAATCTAAATAGATAAAAAAACAAAAGAGGTTGTTGTTGTCATTTAAATTTTGATATGATGAGAAAAAATATACCTTGAATCGTTAGTAATTGCTTGGTATTTGATGATTCGATTTTATCTTCGTCAGTTATCGGACTCGCGGATAATGACGATAAACAATGAACTATTCCTTCGTTCACACTTGAACTATCTGATATTTCAATTAATTCATTATGTAATAAACCTGAATAAATTTAAGAAAAAAATAGGAAAAGAAAGATTTAGACTATGAGAAAACTCAAATCAGTGTTACTTATAATACAATTTACTTTTGATAACTTAACTTGAAAATAATAACTCACCGTGTGTTTGTCTTTCTTCCTCTGAATGCGCCGTCAAATGTGTTTGACATCGGTCTTCAATTGTTAATAAATAGTGGGGAGTCAATGCTGGCATTTGGTGTAAAGCAGTAATCGTAGAGGATGATGCAGGTTGTAGTTCAATCACTTGTGCGTTTCCATCTAAATGTTTATTGGCTGTCGTCCTTAACTGATCAATTGAATCTTAATGAAACAAAAAAATTGAGCGCAAAAGTTAATCGACAATATTCTGTATTACGCTCGTTACGTAAAAAACAGCAACATATATACTTTGTTCATCCGGCTTATTTTTGTGCGATGATGTTTCTAGTCTTTCTATTCTTGCTGTTGATGATGTAGAATAATTCAGTGTATTGAATGTTTCTTGTAGCATTGTTAATAAATCGTTTCCACCACGTGAACTTGGTTGATCAGAATTTAGAAATACAGACTGATCATCAATAACAGAAGGATTTGTAGATTTTTCAAAACCATAGGATAAATTATCCACCGATTTTACTAAAGGTAATGACGGTTGTGGCAATAAACATTGTTGTGTGATAATAGGTGCAGACGTCATCGCAACAGACGTAAATATAGCTGATGGTGATGGTATTGGCGTTGAGTTCGTTGGTATTGTTGTCGTTGTATTGACTGATTGACTTTGATTTACTGATTGTAAATATCGATCAGTTAGTTCATAGCGATTTTCATTATTCATTATCACTTTTTTTATTTTATTTTCTTCAAGTAATTCATCTATTTTTTCTTTCATCATTTTATCAGTTTCATATTTATGATATTCTTTAACATATTTTGAATAATTTCCCATATGGGTAACGAATTTTAATGATAAGGCACTCGATGGCGGATACGATGAATTTTTATATACATTTTCGTATTGGTCAAACGTAATATTGTATTCATTCAATTTTTTTTCAAAATCAATCTTTTCTTGAAGATCGTCCGGTGGTTGTACTTTCATATAAGCATATTGAACTTTTCTCAACCACTGATCTTCTTCAATCAATCTAAACCAGCAGAAAAATAGTTTATTTATTATGAATGAGTAGGGAAAAGAGAAGATAATAATACTATTAATAGTAAAAGACAGAAAACGAGAAGAGGAAAAACTGCAAGTGTTGTTGTCCACATGGTGCAGGAAAACAAGTAAAAAAAGAAAAATAGTGGTAAATTTACTTCGATTTGATTAATTCGCTAATTCCTTCATCGAATTTATGTGGATAGTTGTGCAATGGCGAATTATCCCTACGATCTATCGGACTTTTTCCAAGGAATGTTGTTCGACTGAAAACGTTATATGGATAGAGAAGTATCTTTCTTGCAGCTTCACGTTGTGTCGATAAAATGTTTATTGTTGTTAATGGTAATATTGTATGCATGTCAAATGTTGTCAACGCGATATTGAATATATGTTCGTAATAAGACCAAATTGTAACACATGTATTCAATTCAATATATAATATTGGCATTTTCATCTGATTTCGCGGTACATTGTCTGTAATAAGCAGACGTTTTATTGCTAATTTTATTTCAGTAACAAACTTATCATCAATATGTTTATTTACATGATCACCATCATCAAAATTAATATACTTCGTTGTTTCATTCAATATATGGACAACATTTTTGAATATTTGAAAAAGAACGCAGTATCGAGGAAAAATTTCCAGCACTTTTGAATATAAATCTTTCAATTGTTCTTCTGTCGATGACGTTGGCGAGGCATACAAATCAGCCGTCTTATTAAATGTGTAAAAAAATGCAGATGATTTTTCATTAGTTGCATCATTTTTATTCTCTGCCGCTGTTTTTGTTGACGCTTGTTGGTGCTGTGACGATCTAATCATTGTTGTTGACATTGATTCATCATCTAGGATATTAAAGTTAATTTAAAAATAGAAAACACCTGAAAACATTGATCATTAACTTACCTGATATTTCTCGAAAACGATATTCAATATCACCTAAGCAGTGACATACAATAAGTATATGAGCAATAGATGGCAGTGAAAGTACTTTTTGACGATTAATTAAATGTTGTGGCCGCAATGGTTCTTTATTTGAAACGGCTAAATATGTCATACGATTGTGTATACCATAAAATCCATCGTTATTCTTCCATTGTTGCATCAGCTTACTATACCGATTTCCCGTTGTTGCACCAAATATAGATAATTTTGCATCCGAAATATGAACAATTGTTGATCCGGTTGTTCGTGTATCATCGTGTATGCCGTCAAAAGCTTCGCAGAGCAAAGCTCCTTCTTCGGCTTTGTCTTTTGATTCGTAAACGCCAAGTTTGTCAAGTATTGGATCAAGTTCGTCGGCAATTATTATTTTGTCGCCAGAAGCAAGTGCTTTTCTCAACGACAATCCATTAACATTTGAAAGTATTGAACTAGTTATTGCTTTATCTTTTGCAATTGTTTGATCTTTTCGATACGATTCAGCGAACATGATTTCAACTTTTTTAGCTGCATCTTTCAATATATTAACGTTTGAAGATTTCATTGATCCTAAACACATGAATATACAAAAGAGAGAGTAAGCATGGAGGACACAAAATTGCTGTGTTTTTCTAACCTGAACTCCCAAGAACTATTGAATACAGATTAAATGGTTTGGATTTTTTGAATAAGTTCAAATAATGGCTTTTGTTTGAGAAATGAACCATCAATGAAAACAAACCAAAGAATAACATATTCGGATCGCCTCCTGCTATTGATTTATGATTGTCAAATATTTTCAATTCTTCTGTTGTTAATACTGATGTTAACACAAAATGGATTTGGGATGCTTTTCTGATGTTTTCTTTAATCAACCTTCCAAGTTCACCTGGTGTATTCGACATTTGTTTCTAACCTACAAAATGAGTTTTGTTTGTTTATGTAGTGAAAACAAGAACAAAGTGATTCTTCAATTTATATAAAGCCTTTTACTGGTTGAATCCTGATACGCACTAAGACTAAAAAGTAGTGCAAAGTCTCTGTTTTAAAAATATTAGGAATAATGACAATAACAATGAAATAATTATTCTCCATTTTATAGAAATCATCAGTACTGGTTTCATCACGACACATGCCCGATATTTATATAAAAATATTCCACTGAATACAGTTATTACACGTGCATATGAGAAAAAAAGATATTTACCATCATTTATTTATGTTCAACTCTTCTTTAATACCAATCAAGATCATTCTTATGGTTCCTATTATTTAGTTTCATTTTTAGAAAATGCTATTTCAGAAATATCAACAAATATTGTTGAATCCAACCGTTGTCCTTATGTTGCTGATCTGATTCAAAATACAACCATTATGTTGTATGTCTATTTAAAACGTATTAAATTTTATCATCGTGCTTGTAATATATTAGGAATCATAGTTTAAGAATGTCCTGTATTAAAGGATCGGAAAAAATCGAATAAGCTCTGACAGAAGAGGCACAGTGAGCATTTTTCTATAGATCAGGCGAACATGTGGTTTTCTTAATTCAGAAAGAGATTATTTTTGCTCAATACTACTTTATTATGTTCGAAATTTAGGAAGTCGATTGCACCAGGAACGTAGCGAGAAAAGGGGATTTTCTGGGAAAAGCTCCGGACTTTTTATCCACACTATTTAAGATAAAGCAAAAATTTTTTCAGCATCAGAAAATAAGCTGGCATGTTTTTTCTGCTCCAGAAATATCAAAACGAAGTGTTTCGATCGCTTTGTTCGAGATACGCAATCAACATTTTCAAAAACGCGCTAATTAGCATGTGGATTTTCTTTACCAATTTTTTGAACAAGGAAACTCTTAGAAAAAACTTTTTCATCATTAAATCGACCGTTAGCCAAAATATATATGACGGTATTCAAATCTCAAAAAAGCGCACTTACAATTTTGAGTCAAACTTCCGCCTATATGCTCACTTTGAGAGAGTATCCTAGAAATTATCCTGTGAAATATCTATAAGCCTGTTTTCTGTTCTACTGTTATAAAAATTGTCAAAAGTTGTTCAATATCATCAAACCACTCTTAATAAATTTATCATTAATTTATCTTTATTAACTTAACGTTCATCTTCGATGCACTGATTCCTTGAAAGCAAGAAGTTGGCTTCGATATGAATTTTGCGAAATTCAACAACTCCTTTCCGCTTATGAGTTGTCCGTCATCACCTAACAGTATCTTCGCTTCACCACTACAAATACTAGTCCGCAAACACTATGATACTATACCTACTTTCTAATTAAGATTCGGTGCTCTGCAGGTTACGAAGAGCTTCTCGACTCGCTTGGCTCGTCTCAACGCCAGTTGCAGGCTATCGAGTATCGGAAACGAATGCCATCTCAAGGAACTTTCGGCATTCAATTTTCCATACATTGAAAGATTCAGACCTCACTAAATAAATAGGAATCCTTCTAAAAGTCTCTCATACACATTTTCCGATTCGCCATGCGCGATGCGCTACTCTCTATCGTTTTCAGCGAACCAAGTCAAAAAAAGAACCAAGAAGACCAATTGGATTAGTCCTAGAGATCTCTCATAGTCATTTTTGGGTTCTCCGTGGTCGATTAAACACACTGTATAATTATCATCCCTTAGAACCTTACACCTTCCGGGTTATTGCATTTCTATGCTATGCAGACGCCACGCTGACACTTTTTCGTATGACCGTAGACCATCAGTCAAGGGAACTACTGTTCTGTCACGCGTTTGTATTCTCATTTTGTTCTACTAATTATTTAGAATTAAAAGATTTAATTCTGTTGTTTGTTTATGTTCATCCGCACGAAAACAAATACGTTTTAGCCCGTTAGGCATCGTTGGTTTTACATGCTATTCTTTGGCAACTCTACTACTTTAGAATTCTTCAGCACAGATACAGAAAATTTTAAAAATTTCCATGGTAAAGGATCGGATTTTTTAGAAGAAATGAGATACATCCGTTTAGCAGGTCGTACTGATCAAAAATACGTAGACGTCTTTTATATATTATCTTATAGGTACACGTTGTTTTTTCGATGAACGATATATGTGTCTATGTACTAATGAAGCCTATTTCGATTGTTTTCGTTTTAATCATAGTGAAAGTAATTGTACACATTTGGGATACTGTTTGAACGGTGGCTACCGTTTAGAATCAATGGATAAAAATCAATTTGCTTGTGTTTGTCCCAAATGTTATTATGGTAATTTATGTCAATTTACAACAAGTGACTTTTCAATTTGTATCGATGCTCTGTTCGATAATAATATAGGTTCAAATGAGAAACTTCTAAAACAATCTTATTCAATTTTATTAGCACATGTCCATCAGATAGAGTATGGTCGATAGCCTACAGGTAAATAATACACAGCAAGTAATTATCTGAAAAAAAGTTGGAAAATAATTCTCTTCTTTTAAATAGTTGTTCAACTCTACTAACATGATTCGTGGTGCTTTAGTTAACTAAAAAATTGCTTTTATGAATGTTCAGTTCAGATGATTATTTTTTGGTATTATATCATCTATAGTTGTTCCTGTTTATTGTAAGATGCCGGCAATGCGAATTTTCAGTAAAAAAGAGCGCCACCACCAATCGAGTTTTGGGTCTGGAATCAATTTAACAACTTTTTTATATTCAGTTTTTGATGCTAAATCTGAAAAAATTATTTTCAGAAGCTGGGAAAAGAGCGAAGTAGAAAATTTTGCATATTTCGAAAACAATGTGTTTTTCTCGAAAAACGACACCTTTCGAGTACTTCGTTTTTTCCGACCGGAAGGAAGTATTTGCTAAGGCTAAACAGTGGTTTTCCGTGATCAACAAGCAGCTCACGCTCTGTGAAATAATGTAAACAAAACGCAAAAAACATTTTTACTGAAAGTTTGATAGATCCTGTTTTTTAGCAATAAAACTATTCATTAGTTTTCGACTACATCTTATTTTCACAGAGATGGTTCATTTGGCTACGAGCTTTTCAAAAAAGAAACTACAAAAACAAATCCAAAGCGTGCTCCTGCTTCCATCAATTATTTGTTATGTGGCGACAGACAAAGAAGACCAACAAATAACAATGTGTCAGAAATTGCGATACGTTTGCGCGATAAGATTCAAGAACAGGTTAATGTAGTTGTTTTTTTCAAAAGAAAATTTAAAAAGGAGATATAAATAAAAAGTATAAGAACAAAAGGACAGTATTTTTTCGTCTCTTACCTTCTGTAGCATAAAAACTTAAACCCTTGTGAAACTCGTGCCTTTTTCAACAGAACGGCAAAACGTGCTTTATTTCTAAGTTCTGTTAGCAATATCCGAGTATAACAAATAATTAATGGGAGATGGAGTATCTTTTTGATTTATTTTTGTTCTATTTTTTTGAAAAGCTCGTAGCCAAATAAACCATTTCTGTGAAAATAAGATTTAGTCGAAAACTAGTGACTACTTTTATTGCAAAAAGAACAGGATCTAGCGAACTTTTAGCTTCAAAGTCTATTGAGCTGCGCTAGGCCACATATTACTAAAAATGTTTGCATCAGCTGATGCACTGATTTCCACGATCCCATAGTCACTAGCAGTGATATACCATTAATTGCCCATCAACTGATCATTCTTATGCCATACCATTAACTGGCCATTAATGGCTCGTTAATGTCTCATTTTCATTCACCTGGGCAGTATACCCGTGAGGGCACTCGAATCCTGGTGGGGCGGGGGAGGTATGTAACGATTTCTTGTCACAATCGCTCTTTCCACTATGTACAGATTATCTTCGTATACATGTATTTCATTTTGTTTTGTTCTGTCCTTTCTTTTTTGGTAGTTGTGTTGTTTCGTTGTTCTTTTTGTTTTAGTAGAACTTTAGCGTACAGCGCTTTATCTTCTTTATTTAACATGCGACAAGATG